TTCAACTCTTCGGGTTATCTTTGTGTGGACTACTGCTAGTTCGATTTTACTGTGAACCGGTAGCGCATCCAGTCAGAGACAGGTTTGAAAGAGCCTCCAAACGTGCCTATGAACTCTAATCTTTACTCTTATTGTCCATATTACTACTGAATATTTGATTTAACATATTATCTCTAATATCTGTATCCTGATCTTGGCTTAAAATGGAATCGATCGTTGTTTTACTTTTGTTTTTCTACTGCCATGGGTTATATTGTTTCCTAACATTTATGTCTTACAATACTGGATACAAAACCTTCAGATTGTTTCATATATATGTTTTCCTCAACAAATCCTTTGAGGAACGTGGTCTTGACATCCATTTGCCAAATTTCAAAATCATAGTGTGCTACTATGGCTAGCAAGATTCTGATGAATTTAAGCATTGCATCTAGTGAAAAAGTTTCCTCATAATCCAACCCTTGTTTCTAAGTATAACCTATCGCTACTGGTCTAGCCTTATAGGTCTCTACCTTTCCATCTTTGCCAATATTTCTCTTGAAGACCCATTTACAGCCAATAGGAACTATTCCTTCTGGAAAGTCAACAAGTGTCCAAACTTGATTAGCATGCATGGATTCTATTTTAGAATTCATCGCTTTTAGCCATCTTTTAGAATCGATATCTAATATTGCTTCTTCATAAGTTTTAGGGTCATCTTCGTGATCAACTTCTCCCACTGAAAAAGATTCAAAAACTTTTTCATGTAGAAAACCATAGTATTTCTCTGGAGGTCGAGATATTCTAGAAGATTTACAGGCTGGAACCATTGTGTCATGCGTTAAAGGTTCTTGATCTAGTTCACCTATCTGAGTATTATCGATTTAAGACTATTCAGAATATTCCTTGAGTTCAATTTTTCTTCCTGCACCTCCTTCTTTTAAGAATTCTTTCTCAAGGAAATGTGTATTTCTACTGATTGAGATTCTTTGATCAGTAGGGAAGTAAAAATAATATCCTAAACTTTCTTTAGGATACCCTATAAACCGATCTTTTTTAGATCTTACGTCTAACTTATCTGTTTTGACAGTGTTGACATAAGCTGGACAACCCCAGACCTTTAAATAGTTAAGACTAGGTGGTTTACCACACCATACTTCATATGGTGTTTTCTGGATTGATTTAGATGGTGCTCTATTTAAAATATGCACTGCTGTTTGTAGGGCATACCCCCACAAGTAAATCTGCAAGTTCGTAAAAGTCATCATCTATTGTACCATATCCAATAAAGTACGATTTCTCCTTTCAGATACACCATTGTGTTGTGGTGTAAATGGAGGAGTTAATTATGATATAATTCCATTTTCTTTTAGGAAATCTAAATATCCCGTACTTGAGTATTCACTTCCACGATCTGATTGTAGAATTTCAATACTCTTTCCAGTTTGTTTCTGTGCTTCATTCTTGACTTCTTTGAACTTTTCAAAAGATTCTGATTTGTATTTCATTAAATACAAATACTCATACCTTGAATAATCATCAGTAAAGGTAATGAAGTAATGAAAACTATAAACCCCGCGTTATTATTCCGATGCCCTAAGGTATGAAATTATACCCTTACAGGTAATTTTTTTTTTTTTTGAATAGAAAGGTAAAATGGTAAATTTGCATGCCTTTTGAGATGTGGCCATTATAAAGTGTAAAGGGTGATGCCATTGAAGAGAAATAAGGGTAGAATGGTCATAAAGTATCCATAAAAGTGCACCAAGGGTAAATTAGTCATTTACATAATGGGATTGTTTAATTACCAAGTGTTCAAAAGAAGTCAAATGGCATTAAATGAGTGCTAATCATTATGTTATGGTGGAAATGTCCAAAACACCCTTATATGAAAAATTTATGCCAAATGACCGTTATATCTAACTTTTAATGACCAATTACAATAGAGTAGTAATAAAATAAATATCTATAAGGTTGAAGAGAGAGGAGTCGGCCTTGTACACCCCAAATGCATCATCATCTTCTTCCTCTCTCAAATCCACCATAAAGGCCACTAATCCAAGCATTTTCTTCTCAAATTTTCTTAGGGTTCCAAGCAATTTCTTGAAGGAGATCAAGATACACCTTAAGAAGATTCAATTTGAAGGGTTAAGGTAATCTCTAAAACCCTAGCTTAAAGAGTTTGAATGTATTAAAGAAATTTCATGAGTGTTAATGCTTGTTATAGGTGAAGGTGTTTATTTGGAGCCAAGGTGGAGTGTTTCTTTTGAGTTTTGATTGCCAAGGTAAGGGGAAAACCACCCTTTAAACTATGTTATCAACATCTAGGGTTAGTAAACCTTAATTTTTGTTATGTTAATTTGATGTATAAAGTTATGGTTTGTTTATGTATTGTTTGAATTGGTGTTGGTTGAGGTTTGTGTTGGAAAAGGAGGAGGATATTGCCACTTAAGAGATTTGTCGTTGGAAGATGGTTGGCACTTGTTTGAATATGAAAGGGAGGGTATTATGTGACTTTTATGACTTGGTTGTGTTAGGGCATGCAAAAGAATGCGGCATCCATCTTCTAAATAAAAAAATTCAGAATTTCTTTGGAAAATCGGTTAAGGCACTAAATAAATCCTATAGCCTAACATGAACAAGAATGGTAAAAGACACATAATGAAATTTCTTATGTATCATGAAATTTTAAGTGAATTAAGAAAATGAGAAATATTAAGAAAATATTCATGACAAGGAATTTCGCTTAATTGACTAAAAATTTATGAAAGTGGTCATGGGTATATGCTAGGTGAATGAACGTTATGATGAGCATGTCCGTAAGTTAGATATAAATGACATGTATGATGAATGCATATGTAATGTTTATATGTTAAAGGGAGATGTTATCCCTTATGAATGCACTCTAAATGATAACATATATAGCCTAGTTTAGTTGACTTATGGAGGATTTATGAAATGTTAAAGAAAGGTTTCCATGAGTCTCTTGAGGCGTAAGGCCAAGATCAAAGTAATGGTATATAAGTTCCATGAGTCTCTTGAGGCGTAAGGCCAAGACTAGAGTAATGGTATATGAATTCCATGAGTCCGTTGAGGTGTGAAACCAAGATCAGAGTAATGGAAATTTTATGAAAACCATGAGTCCTTTGAGGTGGTAATCAAGAACAAGGTAATGGTTCAAATGAATCTGATGGGTTCATAAAGATAAATGAAATGTCAAATACCTAGATAAAAGAAATAGGCATGTCATGTTTGTGAATGTTGCATGAGTCATATATGTTTAGTGTTTTAGAATGTTTTAAATATACTATGACTTATGTGTATAAGAAAGTCAATGTGAATATCATGACTATGATTTATGACATTGACAATGAATAATATGTTGTGGATTTATGAACATTTTGTATGTGTAAGAAATCCATGAAAGTTAGAATAGCCATATCCCCTTTCTGAGCGATTAGCGCTCACCCCACGATGTTTATATGTTATGCAGGTAAGGATTAAGGCATGAAGTTGGGAGAGGATTCGAAGGACGCTATGAGCATGAAGGGATGTTTTATTGATGACTATTGAATGGTTTTGCTAGTATTTAGCGTAGTAATTATGTTCATATTTCATAATGTAGTAAATATGTCCATGTTCTATGATGGAGTAAATATGTTTGTGTTAATAAAAGAAATCAAATTGCTACTAAAGTTTATAAAAATGTGTATGTTCTAGTAATTATTGCTATGGATTTCATAACTTACTCCAAGAAAGGAAACTATATTATTTTGACTTATACAATGAACTTATTATAATTTAGAAATTTATAAAAAAAAAAAAAAAAAGATTTTAAACTACAAGTTTATTCTTTAAATAGGGTTTTAAAATAAACTTATTTCCTAGGCATGTGTTTTCTAGGTTCTCAATGGCCAAGGGATACGTAGGAAATACCTGACTAGGGATGGGTTTTACAAAAACCTCATTTGGCCATTTCATTAAATGGTCCACATATATCTATAAGTATTAATTCCAGTAATTCTTTGGCCCTTTCCCCTTTACTCTTAAAGGGTGACTTGGTCATTTTTCCTTGCAGATAAGATTCACATGTTGGATAAAGTTTTGAACCCAATGAACTTAAAAGTCCACTTTCTCCTAACTGGATTACTCTTCTGTCTCCTATATGACCTAATCTATGATGCCGAAGTAATTTATGATTAATTTCATTTCAAGTTCGTTTATTAGTTATGGAATTCATTATGCTATGGCCATATAATTCTAGCACATACAAACCATTTGTATTGATAGCTTTGCCAACAAGTTTATTTCCAAAATAAACTAAACATTCATTTCTATTGAACTGTATACTGTAACCATATTTACGTAATATAGAAACAGAAATTATATTTCTAGAAGCTTTAGCAAAATACAGGACTTTGTATAAATACAAAAGGTGTCCTGATGGAAGCATCAAATTGCATGTTCCCATGGCTTCAGCAACAACATTTGCTCCATTCACCATTCTTAACATGACTTGATCTTTTGCTAGAGCAAAACTATTCTACAACTCCTGCCATCAAACATGAATGTGTGAAGCAGCAACTGAATCTAATATCCAAGATGAATTATTTGAACTAACATTTAATTCAAATTCAATTACATAGCATTGGGACATACCTAATCCAGTCTTCTAAATGAGAAGAGCTTTAGTCTTCTTAAGACTTTCTAGATAAAGAGGACAAATCCTCTTCCAGTGCCCTTTTTTCTTTGCACCAAAAGCATTGGCCCGTTTCTTTAGATTTATTGGCTTGAGATGCAGTCTTTTTCTTAAACCCCTTTCCCTTGGGTTTTGTTCCCAATTTCATTGGCTTTTTCTTCTTTGTCTTGCAGGAAGAAACCATACTAACAACCTCCTGTCTTTTTCCTTTTCTTTCCTAATCATAAAACTATTGAATCTCATTTAACAAATCAGGAAGTTTTCTTTCAATCCTATTGAGATGATAATTATTGATGAAAGGTGTGAAACTTGAAAGTAGAGATTAAAGAACTAAATCCACCTTAAGGGTGTCTGGCATTTCAATTTTTATGGCATGTAATTGCCCCAAAATATTAATCATTTCCATGACATGCTCTTCTCGTGACACACCCTCTTCTAACTTCATTCCAAATAAAGTAGAACTTAATTCATATATTCTTATCCTTGAATTTTCACAGTACAACTCTTGTAACGCGAGGTAAATTTCATTAGCACCTTTCATCTCTTCACTCTTTCTCTGGAGCTTGTCACTAATCAATACCATCATATAAGAGCAAGCTTTAAGTTCATCTTCATTCCATTTTTTATATTCATTATGCTCATCAGAAGGAGCATTAGAAGGAGGAGGTTCAAGCATGGGCGTTTCTAAAACGTAGGCTGCATTTTCTGAATTCAATATTATTGTTAGTTTCCTCAGCCAATCATTGAAATTACTATAGCCAACTAACTTGTTCTTCTCATCCAGGATTTTCAATAGTAGATTATTCATCTTTTACGGTTTAATATTTTATGAGAGATGTTGCAAGGAAATTAAAAAATTATGAGTGTTTTGTCACATATGTCTTTTATTAAGCTAATCTAATTAGCTCCCACTATTTTATTTAAATCCTATACTTCCCTGGATAAAGATTCAGAAATTTCGCTGGGTTAAAATTTCTAGTGGGGAATCAAATTCTTATCAAATCTAATAAACCTCACATAATAGAAATCTTGGTCCATTAAACTCAATAAGTACAAAACTATTTCTTTTTATATCACCATATAAGCTATGATTCAGTTCCTTGCCTCTAGTTTCGGATACCTCACATAGTAGAAATCTTGGTACCCTAGACTAGTTAAATCTGACCCATTATGCTTTCTTAAAATAGAATTCCTATTATATCCTCACATAATAGAAATCTTGGGTACAATGAGAATTTCTAGCCAAGAACTAAGACAATCAATTCCATGTCATAAATTAGCATCCCTCACATAATAGAAATCTTGGGATCTCTAATTCTATGGCAAAGAATTAATTGACTCATAATGGAAGCCTTAGATTTAATATTTTAATTAGGGAAGATTTAAAGATTAAGTTTTGTTTTAGGTTAATGTTTTAATATCTACCCCAGCATATCCACCATATGTATCAACTAAATATAAAACATAAACCCCACACTACAAACCTAAAACTAAATGTCATGCCATAAAATTAAGTTTCAACACTTCATATAAATATTAAAACTTAACTATAAACAATGGCATAATTAATATAAATAAATCATACAAGCATATTACATGCTTAAATACGGCATCACATGTTGTCAAACATAACAAATATGCATTGTATTAATATAACACATATATTCCCCATATATCAATTATATCTAATAAATTGCCCATTAATAATCATTAATGAAACTTTAGGGGATAATGTAACACTTAAATTAAAATAAGCAATTATACTACCAACATTTGGTATTGAAAAGTTGGTGGAGTAAATTTATGCTTGTTGGAATAGGTGCCCTAGAGCCAATCAATTATTGTAGAATTGACTCTTTATAATAATGTTCATTAATCAATAAAAGGCATCTTATACTACATCGCGTAAATCATTATTATTGCAATATGTATTGATATATGTCCTTAGAATGGTAGAACCGTGACGAGAGTATCAAGTGTTTCAAATCTTGATAGTGAGAAGAACCCTATGAGCACATATGGTGGCCATTCTAGAAATGTCCATAGCCCCAGTATTATTCTGAAGTAAGGGCACAAATAATACGATAAGGCTATCATAGTGTTGAACGACCGTGTCAAAAGGTAGTGACTGATCTCACTTGTCAAGGTTGTTTGGTGACAACCTGGTGCAACACGTGGGTGCTTGTTGTAGACGAATACACCGCAGCAAGTTCACTGGACTGACCCACCAGAGGATTCCATATGGATGGTAACCCCAGTGTCTATGGAATAAATCCTCTAACGAATGGTGGTGCATGTGATCCTTAGACTTGAGATCACCAGAGCGCCTTGTGCACCGATTGGTGTAGTTTGACACTAGCTAACGTAGTTCTTTTCAGAGCTGTCAATACGGTGGTGATTGGCTGCATCGAGGAGTGTATCAAGACTATGGTGGATTGACAGAGGATTCATCACTCCCGGGTACGGGAGAAGTTATCTCATGGCACAATTCAATATATGGCAATGACACTAAAACTGTTGCCACGGTGGGATTGAGTTGTTGCTCTATCCGGATTATAATACAGGTCATTGGTCCAGAAACTAAATACATAATATCGAGAATAACCAAAGGTTGACACTGTTTCTATGCCTTCGTCTCGTCGAGATAACGTATGATGAAAGGATCGAATTGTACGGTAATCATATCGTTGACAGGTAGCTATTTTGCTGAATCTGAATCTATTAGGTGGCCATAATGCCTTGCTAGGAGCCAATCTTGGTCTATGTATTAGTGAGACGATTAATTGGTGTTAATCGCGATATTATACACTGCCGGTATGATGAGGAGCCTATGGGTCACACACATAGAAGATAATTTAAGAGCCAAGAAGAAAGAAGGGTGTGTCTTTTTAGGCGAAAGGGTATTTTGGTACTTTTATAGTGCAATTAAATTTGTTGAGGTCGTAGCCTTTTATTTAATTTGTTAGAAAAAATTAAATAAGTGAAATTACATTTAAATATGTGTTCGCATATATTTAATTAAATTATGATTATTGTTAAATGTTAATGTATATTAAATATATATATTAATTGATTTTAATTGAGATAATGATGGAAATAAAAATATCTAATTGAGAGTGTTTGGTAACATGGTGTGTTTGGGCTGGAGCCCAAGCCTATTCCATATGGGAATAGGGCAACTTAATTTATTATAAAAGAAAAAGATGTGTGTGAAATTAAAGTAAGGTTTTTCATTAAAAACAAAAACACACAACAGCCCCTTGAAAGAAACAGTCACGCCAGATTTAGGTTTTAGCCTAAATCAAATTCCTTTGTTTTCTTCTTCTTGGATTCTTAAGGCTAAGGAGAATCTAGCAAATCCCTCCTTAGTTCTTTGTAATTGTCTTCGTGTGGACTTCATAAGTTCGATCTTACGCTTGGGTCGGTAGCAAATACGTACAAAGACTATTTTAGAGGAGCCTCCAAACGTGCATATGTTTTTCTATACTCTTGATTAATTTTTCTGCAGATTTCTATTATGATATAAATTGTAAAATTATACCCTTGATCTTGGCTCATGTAAACAATCCTTGTATTATATTTTTTTGTTTCCGTTGCGTATATGGATCATTTACTAACAATGCTTATCTTATCACATGGAATATCAATATACATTAATGATTGATTCAATTAATCTTATCAAAGACATAATGAACAATTAAATTGTGTTCATACTACCTTTCCATGTTCTTGGTACAAAGACAAATTTACCCTTAACTCTTTAAGGCAAATTATCTTAATACCCTTTGATGTCCATTAAATCACATATTTAACTAACATAATGTAGTATGACAAATTACGCCAAAGAAGATCAAACAACCCTTTTACATCTAATTAAAAAACATGCAATAATCTCTCACATGAACAAAATTCATCCCCATGCATCCATGAACATTTTAATCACTATTAAAACATTAGAACTTTTAAATTGTCTAAACAAGTATGCTAATTAATCAACAATTAATTTACAAACTTGTCATGGCCAAAATTTCACATAATCAAAATTATGTGAACAACATCAATTTTCATCAAAATTGACATATTAGCATCCATACAATGTCCTAATCATCAAGAATCATATTCTTCAAGCCATAAATGTCGACGAAGAAGCATTTTAACCCAAAACTCATTTGGCCAACTTCAATCAAACACTAAAATTTCAATTAAATCTTGATGTATGTGCCATAACCATCATGTTTTTCAAACAAAGATCAAAAGAACATAAAGTGCAATTAAATTTTTTTAAAACTTAAGCCATGGCCGAATTTTGCAAGTCAACCAACATGATCAAAAACAATTTTTATGGCATATAAAGGATGTGCATCCATGGATCTACAACTCTTACAAAGCAAGTTGACATGTAACTTCACAAATCAAAATTTGCAAAATTACAAAACATTATTCAACATATGAATATGAACTTTTTAGCCAATTTTAGACAAATAAGGATCAAATCCTTGGCTTTGATACAATTTGAAAGATGGAATGTGTGGAGAATGATGCATGTGATACTATAACAAGTATATTAATATTTCGCAAAAATTTTCAATCAAATTGAAAACAAGTAAGGTATAACTTGTTACCTTAAGTCCTTAGCAATCTTGGAGACTTTTAATTTCAAGAGAAATTAAACAAAAGAGTATCTACACTAAGGTAAAAGAAGAATTAGGCAAAGAGAGACATTTAGGGTTCTTAGAAATTTTGATCTCTATGTCAAAAATTGATATATCATTTTCTTTATATATGTAGCCTTGTAAACAATTCAATAATTGTTTTGGACTTCCTTAAACAATTCCATAATTGTTTTGGTGTTGTAAATAATTCCATAATTATTATGAAGTTGTTAAACTTCTTTAAATAATAACATTGGATCGACATTTATTCACAATTAACAATTTAACTCTTAAATTGTTTACATAACAATTTAACCCTTAAATTGTTCATATGTTTACAATTACAACCCATTGTTAAATTCAACTTAATATAAAGAAAATGATTAATTATGAACAATTTAACTCTTAAATTATTCATAATAACTAATATAACCCTTGATTGAATCTAATTCAATGATAATAATATAAATAACTTTATTACCCTTGGTAGATGCTAGCTAACCTTGGATAATCAATTCTCTTTGGCTATTTCTCCATTATCCTTAGTTTTTATGTGTGACCTCTTTGGTTCACTGTGGCTTAGCCATGGGCCCAATATCATAGTCTATTCTGATATGTTTTGTCATAACTCTTTATGAACAAAACTCCCACCGATTATGGTAGGCATCTAGCAATGCTTCATAACCCGTAAGTCACAATGAAGATATACTCCAATGAACCTTTTATAATCATACACGTTGTATAATCAAATCCTTCCGTTGTCTAATCCCAATTAAGAATGGATTCATGGTGTCAAAATCCTTATCTTAATTTTATATCAAATTGACAATCAATACATATGGAAAGTGTCACCATGAAACAACCTTTCAGGTAACATTTTATATACCCCAACCAGAGATTTCTCTTTTCTAATGTATATTGACATTTGTCTAAGAACTTGATATCAATCTATATCAAGTCAACAATTCCCATCTTGACTATCACTTGTCCTCACACATAAACAACACATGGCCAAATTAGCTTATTAACACATGACATGATTAGCCTCATGTTTATACACCATATGAACCATATGTGTTTTTGCAGAATCCAACTATGATATCTCAGGTCTAAGGATTAATAATACACTAGTACGATCTTATGATGAATCATTGAC